ATTCCATGTGACATGACTAATTTTCTGTTTTATGGTTTTTACGGTTAAATAATTGTTAACGCGTGTTGTTTCTGGTGGAAAACTCTACGGCAGTGTCACGATATTCCTTATCACTTGTTAAAAGAAATAATTGTCAAAGGAGCTATGAATAACAAAAGACGAACACTTGATACCTTAAGTATGTTGTACTAGCTTCCTCCCATCTCATGTTTTTGGACGAAGTCAGTTTTTGAAGACTTCGCCGTCGATTTATCGATGAACTTCCATATGAATGGCTGTTGGGCATCCGATTTTGCCAAAAATTTGCACACAATAACATTCTCATCAAACTTAGAACGAGTGTGAAGTTAATCAATGCCGGCTCACTCTTAGAAAAGTTTTCTTGCAGAGAAAATGAAAGTAACATTCGATTTGTTTGTAACATCGCACGTCCTAACAATTACAGGGTGAGATGAAAAAACTGCAACCTACTTCAGACAGCTTTCATTTCTAAGCCACTCGCCTGACAGCTGTTAAAATTATTACCGTGACAGTTCATTATATTGCTTACAAGCGTACAAAAGCATTTTGGTGAGCATTTTCCATAAAAAAAAAGTTATTCCTGATAAAATTCAAGCGTGATAATCACACTATATTTTTATATTTGGCTGGAAAACCACAAGTGGCTATCGTTAGATCACTCCAGCATTTAAATGTGAATAAATCTTTTGTGTCTCGTACCATGATACTGGTAGCGGAGCCCGACGTCAAGGAAGTGGACGGAAGAAAACAGCAACGTCAGCAGAAATTGTTCGAAAAGTAAAGAAGCGACTAGATCTAAATCCGCGTCGCAGTGGCCGAAAAATGGCTCGTGAGCTTAACATATCGTAATATTTCATTCGGCAATTTTGAAATTCCAAAAAGTACAAGAACTTACACCGCAACAAAAAGAAAATAGACTCAAAAGAGCTAAAGAGATGCTTCCCTTGGCCGAAAGTGGTGAACTTCCGAATTTGGTTTTCTCCGATGAGAAAACATTCGTTGTCCAGCGGATTGTAAACAAACAACATAATCGTGTTTACTTGTCAAAGAGGTCAACTGAAAATGTGCACCTTCGGTTGGCCACCAAAAGTCAAGCGCCGGCCATGGTGATCGTGTGGGCCGCCATAACAGCCGATGGTCGCTCTCCGCTCGTATTAATCGGTTGGACTATTATGTCCGGAGTATTTTGGAAAGCACGGTTGGCACTAAAAAATACCAATGTGTCGATCACCTCAAGCAAGCGCTTCGCCGGGAATTGGTCAAAATACCGCAGAGCAACATTCTGGCAGCGTGTGACGGTTTCATTGGTCGTTTGAAGGCCATAATTCGTGCCAAAGGGGACCAATTCGAACAAATCTTAACTTATTACAAAAGTTGATGCTTTTTCCGACATTTTTTGGTTTCATTCAATAAAATTAACAATTATGGCGTTTGACTTTGTTGCAGTTTTTTATCTTACCCTGTATATTAGATTTAATTAAGGTACAAATACAGATAGCAGCGGCCCATTCCTTATGGAAACTATCATGTACAAAGTTCGAAATTTAACCTTTTAATAACGGTTACTAATTTTATTCCAATCGTCGCAGATCTCGTCACATTTTAAATTTATAACCAAGCAGATAATAGATAATCTTAACAGACTATATCGCGTACGTATTGTGACCTCCTCGACAAAAGATTAGAGTTTTGAATAATCCTTTCAATGTTCCCCCTTCTACATTGTATTTTTGAAGGTTTACAATTTATGCAAAGGCGTTATCCGTAATATTAGTATCCCTAAAGAAAGTTGTCAATTTCTGAATGCATGACCCGCCATATATAGCGATGCTGAACGATTTCAGGGTTTTGAGGGTTAAATGCTTCACTTTTTTCAATTCCTTAACTATTGGGAAGTGTTCTTTATTTTGTTGTGTAGTGCAATTTTACACTTTTAATTAGTTATTAAAATACTTCATATCCGCTTTCAGAAACATTGTCTGCAGGAATAAAAGAAAACTCTGTTACCCATGCATTTAACATACACCAACCGCCATATATGTTTCATGAGTACGAAATTATATACTGTCGTGTCATGTTTTGCCTCGCTTGAAGTAAAAATCAAGAGATATCTGTATCATTTTATTTTAAATTTTCTTCAAGTAAAACCCAGTTTCGTTTTAAATTAATCTTTTGACATCTCATTTTATGCCACAGAGGCAACTCATCTGAACGCCATTCCACTTTCCTGTCAAGAACGTGTCATATTTTTAAAAAAGGTTGCCAGTTATGTTTTTATATTCCCAATGCGAGAAAAAACTGGAAAGATTACAGCGGAGAAAATGCCAGAAAAGCTGGAAAGAATGTTATAGCAATTTCCTAATATGTATTTGTATACTTCTCATCAGGAATGGCATTCATCAAATTTTGAAATCATGATAATGACAAAATTGTAAAACCTTTGAGATACAAATGTGTTGCTTTACAGAAATCGGTATAAAATTTTGTTTGCCATTTTTAATCTCTTAATAATTTATTATCATCAAATATTTTTTTTTTTTCATTTTAGAATTTAATTTTGGGACCTAATCTCAAGCAAATGATTGCAAAATATTGTAAGTAAGTACTTATTACTGTGTAGTGCATGAATATATAACAGTATTTTATGAACTTTTTGATAAAATAGTCATCACAATCATACATTAAGGTTCGCCTCAATTTGCATATAATAATTCCCAGCCCACTCAATCGCTTATTGAAATACCTAAATGAGTATATGCCGTCTCAAGTAAGTCCAACACCCATTCCTTTACGCTCCAAGAATTTGATGCGTGGCATCGTGGTGCCTGATTCACAGCATTGGGGAGCATCCCTTGTATAAACTGTTAAAACTAGGGATGGGAAGCCTTCTTCCTCAGTCGCCTGCACACATTCTCAAAACCACAAAATAAATTATGGGGGAAGGCATTCATCGACGTTGGTTTGTGAACTTGTACGTTTTTTCACGAAAAATCATCGTACACACATACAAGTATACATTAATATACGTCAGAATCCCGAAAAGATAAAGTAGCATTACTCACAAAGTAATGCTGGCAAAGCAAAGTAAACTTCAAGCGTATTAAACCACTGCTATCTTCTTAAAATAGGCAAATGTTTCAAAGTAGGAGAATGTGTGAAGGAATTAGCGAGATTCGCATATACACACTTATAGACAAATATATTAATTGAAATTCAGCACACGTCGTATCGTTTCTATACGAATGGCAATAACATTTTCTTACTAAACAGACTAATATGTGAAATGTATGTATGAGTTAAATTATAATACAATGTTACAATGTTAATAGAAGCTAATAAAACGCTATAAAAATTTTGGCAATTATTACGAATTTACTTATAACTTACTTATAAATTGAATCAATCCAAGATATGTCGTTAACGACTAATAAACCAGCTGATATTCAACGGGTATACGAACTTTCGTTTGTAATTTCGGATCAAATTTTATCCGATTGCCTTTAATTCTAGTTAAACTTTTGTTTTTTTAGTACAAACACCATTTTATTCGAACCATGAGTAATGGACAACACATTTTGTCCTAATTTCCTGCAATTTTCCGCTTACACACACAGTTTTATTACTACACGACCCTTCACATCTCTTTTTGTCGTTAAATTATTTCCTTTTATATTTTGCTTACACAGAATATTTACTTCCTGTAGACACATCTGTCATTAGCATACTTTTGAATGTTGGCATATCTTCACTCCTTCGCATCAATACGAAAAAGATTTTTTTCATTTATGTAGCACTTTTAAGTCCTTTGAGTGGATTTATTGCTGCTGAATGTGAGTATTCCTAGCCACCCAAACAGACCCACTTTTACTCTTATCAGGGCAAGTTTGATGAGTAAGGATTGACCACACATAAATGTATGCATATACAGGCACATTTGTTATTTATAAACAATGTTTTTTCAACTATAATTTTATAATTGCTAGGCTTCGTTAAAAACGTCTAGACAATAAGCATAGCCCTTAACTGAAACTGAAACGGAATTCATGAATAACGGATTAATAGGACCTCAACAATTGAATTCGGACGGAACACAATATATAAAATATCGAAATAATTTCCATTGATATTAATTGAATTTTACTGTATTCATGAGTTTGGAAATTTATAAAATATTTCAGGGCCGCGCAGTTGGGGTCGGAGACTGAGTCGAGAAAAGTAATTTGCCAGTTGGGGATAAGGGAGTAGAAAACTTGTTAAACCCACCACCATTCTATGGAGGGTATATTAACTTTGTCATTCCGTTTGTAACTCCTCGAAATATTATATATACACGCAGAGAAAAAATATTTTTCACTATGGTTGCAGAAACCATAACTATTGTTGCCACAACTTTTATATGTTTGTAGCAAACATGTGAATTGCATATTTGAAAATACTTTGTTCCCTGCAACCATAATTTCCAAAATTTAAATCGAATTTTTGTAATATGATAAAAATAATTTACAATACCAATGGTCTTCACAATCATGTTGCTAATAAATTTACAATACATTTTGTAGAATTTTATAGCAAAGAATATAGTGTCAAATATCCTGAGCCAAAATGTGAATAGACGGTATGTAAATCCTAAACACTTAACAATTTGTTTATATTCAGAGATTCTTTTTCAATTTGCAGTTTATATAAAGATGATTTGTTACAACTTTCCCGATCAATAATAGAAGTATTTCCATCGGAAGTTAGAGAAACTTATTACGTACCCTTTACAAAAGGTCATTTGGCAAAGGGTAAATTGTTTGACGCATACAATAATAAGAGAACACAATTAAGTGCAGCAGGACTGATAAATAGACGTGAAAACGTAAATATATATATAAATATAGTAAATATAAGAATATTTATATGTTTTGAAAAACAATACGTTCTTTTAGCAAATCATACGCAATTGTCGGAAGATCACGAAACTGGCATATCAGCAGATGAAAATTCTTGAAACAACGAATGTAGATTGGAACAAAACAAGAGAACTTTGGATTAAATCTCATTCCTATCGACAAAACGAATTACAAAACAACGAGTTAAGTACTATTGACTATATACAAAAATACAACATTCATCTTAATGAGAACTTTCATGAATTGGTAAGTCTTTGAATTATTAATATTATGTAAATTTCGATTAATATTGTTCATATACTTCTCGCCTAGCTTCAAATCGATTTCAAAATACTGTACCCAAATTACAAAAGCATTTACCAATGGAAACAATTCTATGGAAAACTAATATTGAAAGCCGAACAATCAAAAGAGAATAGCGTTTTACAAATTTTAGCGAATATCGACAGAACTGAGGACGAAGGTATGTATGAATATAAGAATATGCTATACATAATCATCCACATTTTTTTACAATAGATTGCAAAATTGCTCTTTCGTTGATGATTATTCCATTTATTCTACCACACTACAGGAAGAACAGCAAGTTAGAATCGCTGGAATCATTCATTTATTACTGCAAGGTCGGTTCATATATATACTTTTATTCCACAATACCTCATATATTAATAAAAAAATGTATCATCCTAACAGAATATTCAAGTGGCAGATGACGAAACAAGAAACCGAATAACCGACTAAAAAAGGATACTCAACCCAAAATTTATTTTGTTGGCGATACGACAAAACCAATTTCCATTGCATACGTGGATATATGTGGAAATCGTTTGAAATTTGAAAATCCTTTAAAAGCTGTTGAAGCCTGCTTTTACTCTTTTATGAGTATGAATATTAAATACCCAACTGCATGCCTACACGTATGGACATTTATACAATATATTATTTATGAAATTAACACTCCATGGGATACGACAATACCTGCTGTAAGTACCTTAATCAATGAACTTCGTATGGAAAATCTGGAATAGATTTGTTTTTTCAGTTTCGAAGAGAATTATTTTATGTTCGTCCAAAAAAAATGAATTATTTTATTATTATTTCATTATATAAGACTTTTATATATAAATTTATATCTACAAATGGATTATATTAAATGTTTTTGTTCATCTCATTTATTTATTTCAATTTATGAATTAATCCGACATATGAGAAGGCATCATAAACATATAACGTCAATATCTTGTTGTTTTCCTAATTGCAATCGCAGATACGATCGGTTTGATTCATATAAGTTTCATTTGCAAAGACATTTTCCTAAAAATGTCTTTAATAACTCTTTGGATAGTTCATCAGAATACTCAAACATAAATAGTGAACCTTTAGGAAGAATTTTCCCCTTAGATACAAATATTGACGATAATAGTTCGCGATCTCAGATAGAATTAGTTACAAATATGAAAAATGATCTATTGAAACAAATTGTGAAAGCTTATTGTAATGAAAGTATTCCTCGAAATAAGTGTTTAGAAATTATAAGAAATGTTGCAAATGGTTTCTTAAAGTACCTGAAAATTCTAAGAAATAAATTAGTAGATAATGTAGTGGAACCTGAAATAATAGCGTTTCTTGAAGATATTATTAATAGTTGTATTATTAAATCAGAATATAAATTACTGAACGAATTTAAGAAAACAGGCTACTTTGTTGAAGCCAAATACCTTTTGCTACATCGTGAGCCTCAAGAGGTTTTAACTACAGGAGGACAAATTACTTTAAAAAATATTGACTACTCCATCGCAATATTATCATTGCAGTCTTTTTTCTTTATACTTTTTAATAAAACTAAATTTTTGACTGAAGTTGTATCTTACATAAGTTGTTTAAAACTACGTGATCCGAATGTTATATATAATTTTGTTCAAAGTAAGCTTTGGCGTGAGAAACTAAATTGTAATGACAAGTCAGATACATTGTTTTTACCCCTTTTCGTATATTTCGATGAATTTGAGCCAGATAACGCATTAGGTTCTCACGCTGGCTTTCAAAAACTTGGTGGGGTTTACATTAAAATTCCTTGTATTCCCGAATATCTTCAGTCAAAATTGTCTCATATGTTTGTAGGAATGCTATTATTTTCTGAAGATAGAAAAAAATTCGGTAACAAACGCGTATTTGAGGCATTTATAAATGAACTTAATAGTTTGCAAGAAATTGGAATAGATATTCATGAAGAAATCTCATTTGAAGGAAATCTTATAAAAAAAATTAAATTAATTTCTTCTCTAATTTTGGGAGACAACCTTGGACTCAATACAATTCTTGGCTTTTCTGAAACATTTTCCAGCAATTTTTACTGTCGTTTTTGTAAACAGCATCGAGAAGTTAACAAAGTGGCAGTTTCTGAAAATAGTGAAATGTTACGAAATCCTCATAATTATAGTTCTGATGTAGGTCTTAATGATTTTAAGACCACCGGTATAAAAGAAAATTCTATTTGGAATAATTTAAAACAATTTCATGTAACAAGGAATTATAGTGTCGACGTTATGCATGATTTATTAGAAGGAGTATGTCATTACGTTTTAATTTTTATATTGACTCGTTTCATAAAGGATTACGAATTCTTTAGTTTAGACCAACTAAATTATAGATTGCTAACTTTCAATTATGGTCCAATCAATAGCAGGAGCAAGCCACCTATACTGAGTCAAGATTTCCAGAAAAAAATTAAATTGAAATTATCTTCTTCTGAAACATTAATTTTCGTAAGGTGCCTAAATTTAATTATAGGAGATTTAGTGCCTGATTGTCAAGAATGGTCGCTATTTTTGTTATTAAAAAAAATAGTTTTTATAGCATGTGAATCATATTCATTTCAAACTGGTGTTCCTGGACATTTTCAACAGCTAGTGTGCGAACACAACGATTTGTACATGCAACTTACAAAATCAACATTGCAACCAAAATTTCATAACTTGTTACACTATGCAAATATTATGAAACAAATTGGACCTTTGAAACATATTTCTTCAATGAGATTTGAATCTCTTCATAAGGAATTAAAAAAAATATGTAACAGCTCTAATAATAAAATTAATCTCCTGAAAACTATATACACAAAATATGAAGTTAAATTATTTGACTTTTTAATTAACTATTCAGATATTTTAGATGCTAAAATAGAATTAGGTCATTCTGTGGAAATGACCAGCGATACTTTCCGAAAATATAATATTTTGTCTACAGTACCATTGCGTGTCTTATCCAATCTTCAATACAATGAAATTTATTTTAAACCTGGAATGGTTATTCAAATTGGAGAATATGATGATAACATTCCATTATTTGGACTCATTATTCATATTTGTTATTTCGACGATAGTTTTTTCCTGTGCGTTCAAAGACTTTTAACACATGGATTTGATTCGCACTACCATGCTTTTAGAGTAGAATATGAAAATGTTTTTCTTTCTGTCAATGTATTATATTTAGAATCAAATTATACGGGATATATTTGTACATCCAAAGAAGACTGCTTTTATATAAACTAAATGCAATTCCATTTTCGTAATATTAATAATTGTATACTATGTGTTAGATTTAATATGTTAATTTATACTATTACCTGTAAAATGAAATAAAATTTGATTTATAAAACACTATCCAAGATGTTTTTAATAATATACATAATATTAAAAAGGTAGAGTATAAGAAATGGTTGGGGCAAACATATATATTGTAACTTTTTAAAATATATATTTTAAGGCCAAAAAAAAGTTTGGTAAAATCTTACCAATCAAATTATTGGGGCAAACAAGTAAATGGTTGGGGCAAACATATATATTGTAACTTTTTAAAAATATATATTTTCAGGCCAAAAAAAGTTTAGTAAAATCTTACCAATCAAATTATTGGGGCAAACGAGTAAATGGTTGGGTCAAACATATATATTGTAACTTTTTAAAAATATATATTTTAAGGCCAAAAAAAAGTTTGGTAAAGTCTTACCAATCAAATTATTGGGACAAACAAGTAAATGGTTGGGGAAAACATATATATTGTAACTTCTTAAAATATATATTTTCAGACCAAAAAAAAGTTTAGTAAAATCTTATCAATCAAATGATGGGGACAAACATGTAAATGGTTGCCGAAAACATATATATTGTAACTTTTTAAAAATATATATTTTCAGGCCAAGAAAACATTTGATAAAATCTTACCAATCAAATGATTGGGACAAACATGTAAATCGTTACAGAAAACATATATATTGTACCTTTTTAAAATATATATTTTCAGGCTAAAAGAACGTTTTATAAAATCTTACCAATCAAATGATTGGGACAACCATGAAACTGGTTGGGGCAAACATATATATGTATACAGTTTACACAGCCTAACCAAAAACATGTTTGCAGCGACAATATTACATAATAGAATCCAACCATATATTTACCATATATATTTTGCTCTTCGAATATTGTTGGCTGAACCATATTTTTTTCTCTGCGTGTAGACCCTACAAAGTATACATATTCTGGATCAGTGATGTCTGTCTGTCTGTTGTAATCATGCTATCTTTCGAACCAATTGAGATAGAAGGCTAAAATTTTGCATACATGCATTAAATTCGTAAATGGGTCATTTCGGTCCACGTTTTCGTATAGCCCCCATATAACGGTACCCACCGATATTGGGTATTTTCGACAGTATTTAGCGGAATTATTTCAAATTTCATATTTAAAGTTCGTAATGGGATAACAAACATTTTTGTATGTATTTTTCGTATTTATTTTTATTGAAAGTTTGGCCCGGTCGAACTTAACTTCTTTTTTACTTGTTTTCTTTTTAAAGGAATTGAAAGTAAATTGTCTGTGAAAATATTTCAATATTTAAGTTGAAATTTGAAATTTTCATTTGAAGACTATGAAATAAGAACAATAAGTTTATTAAAAAAAAAAAATTGTAATTTTCACAAATAGCGAGGTTTTAAATGCGAGCGTAGGTAATCTTGGCTAAATAATGCTAGTGCAAATTCATATAATTTTCTAGCAAATGCATTCTAATTTTTTTATACTTGTTATACACTGAAGTAATTTTCATAAGTACAATATTTATAGAACTACTATAAAGTTAATTTTAGAATTCACTTTTTCCACCACGGAAGCATTCGTCTTTGAAATTGGAGCTATGGTAGTAATACAAAAGCTGAAAGAGACGTTCGGTAACCTTCCAGCCGTTTTGTTGGTGGTAGCATCAATGTCGACAATCTTCCATACTTAAAATCGTAATCAAAAGCAACTCCATTAAAATCAACCATTTGAACACTCATACTTATGTGTGGATATAGATTTTCAGGTTGTGGAGGTGGTCAATACTTTTAGTTTTTAGGTTCTCTCCAACGTAACGTATGTTTGTGAATAACTATTAAAAACATTTCACATCAAAATAATAAGTCGTAATAAACATCAGAAATATCTTCGTATTATCTAACAGCTTCAAAATTTGACAATTCATTAACGCATTTGAAAGTTAGCCTTGTTGGTGTTTGGATCTGAATGAAGATATTTGTTATTGTATATGTAATTTTGTTTTATAATTGAAGAAATATATCGAAGAAATATAGAAGATAGATATATATATTTTTGTGTTCTTCTAATAAATTAAGAAGAAGCAGCAAGTTCGGGAGGGATGAACTTTGAATAGCCTCCACCATTTCGAAGGAATTTGGAAATAAAAAACAATACGTTGAAAAATACTGTAAAAAGTCATAAAATTAACGAATATAGGGAGGGGTCTATACGAAGACGTGAACCTGCATAGGCAAGTTCTTTCATCAGCCATTACAATACTCAAATACGATACTTGAAACAATTCCGGTGAATAATGTTAAAATCATCAAAATAATACTAAAATCATCAAAATACCGAGTATATTGAGGTACCGTTATATGGGAGACTATACGAAGAAGTGGATCTGCATACGGAATTCACCACCGGCTATGGAATGTATTACGTAGTGCCAATAAGAAATTTGAAACAATTCCGGTGAATAATGTCGCTAAAATTATAAAAATACTCAATATGGGAAGGTACCGTTATATGGAGGCTATACGAGTTGATAGATTACCTTTTTTATGCGGTTAGCTCCGTGCTTGCAAAAGAGTCACTATGAATGCCAAGTCGCAATGCATCGAGGTGGCTGGAAGCACCGATGCTTCCAGGAAATCTCTAACAGCAACACGGGCTGAAAGAGTAGCCAGAGAGAGAGTTGTAGAGAAACGACTTGGAAAAGCTGCCTACGGTCCGAGCTGTGCGAACGTAGGCCCCAAGGAGAGTTGTAGGGAAAATCTTCAGACTAGGAAGGCTTTCTCCCCACGGTCCGAGCCAAGCGAACGTAGGCTCCAAGTGGAAGTTGCAGGCAACCTTTTAGCCCAAGA